CCCTGATTCCCCCAAAAGCCAGAACATCCCTCAGCCCCCTCCCTCATTTCCCCGGGGTCCCCAAATTCAACCCGATTCCCCTGGACACCAGAACATCCCTCAGCCCCCTCCCTCATTTCCCCAGGATACCCAACCTCCCTCTGACTCCCCCAAAAGCCAGAACATCCCTCAGCCCCCTCCCTCATTTCCTCGGGGTCCCCAACTTTGCCCTGATTCCCCCAAACACCAAAACATCCCTCAGCCCCCTCCCTCGTTTCCCCCGGACACCAGAACACCCCTCAGCCGCCTCCCTCGTTTTCCCCGTACACCAAAACATCCCTCAGCCCCTTCCCTCGTTTCCCCGGGGTCCCCAAATTCGCCCTGATTGCCCCGGACACCAAAACATCCCTCAGCCTCCTCCCTCGTTTCCCCCAAATACCAGAATACCCCTCAGCCGCCTCCCTCGTTTCCCCCGGACACCTGAACATCCCTCAGCCCCCTCGCTGCCCTCGGTGTCCCGAGGCTCCCCGCCTTCCCCCCGCCCACCCTCGGGCACCGGAGCCCCCCGTCCCCGAGGCTCGCCCAGCCCCTCACTCACACACTCCGACTCGGCCGCGCTCTTCCCCCCCGCCCCACCGCCGCTCTCGGCCCCTCGGCCCCGCGGCCCAGCGCCGAGGGCCCCCGCCGCACCGCGCGGCGGGCGGTGCGACAGGCGGGGCGAGCCGGACCGGGAGCGGGAGCGGGATCCGGAGCCCGAGCGGGAGCGGGCGGAGCGGGGGGAGCCGGGCGCGGAGCCGGCGCTGTCGGAGGCCGCCGAGCCCTCGCTGTCCTCGCTGTCCTGCGAGGCGCGCTGCCGCCGCCGGTCCGCCATCTTGGCCGCGGGGCACCACGGGAGCGGCGCGCGCGGCGGGGCCGGCGCCGGTACCGCCGCCCGCCAGGGGGCGCGCGCCGCCCGCGCCGGTGACGTCACCGCCCCGCGGAAATGACGTCACACCCGAAGGCGGGTAAATGTGAGGGGGGGAGGGAAAACACCAGCACGAAGCGGCCTTTTCCTTGTTTATTGTAAAAAAAAAAACCAAAAAAAAAAAAAATAAAACAAACCCAACAACGAAAAGCAATAAAAAATAATAAAATAAAACCAGCGAGCGGGCGTGTCCGCGAGTGACCCCACCCCCTCCCGTAACGTTTGTTTAGAACACGGCGGTTTTGGAACTTTTATCGATTTTTTAACAATTTCCGGGTTTTCAAAGTTTTTTTTTTTAAAGTTTGTTTTTCTTAAATTCTTTTTTTTCCTAAGTTTTTTTCTTTTTTTTTTTTGTAAACGAGTTTTCTGGCGTTCAATAAGCTCGGGGTTAATTATAGAGAGGGGGGCAGTGGGGGGATAAGACTGGGAGGGCACAGGCTCAGTGTAGGGAGGGGAAAAAGGAGGAAAAAATGTGGAAAAAGAGGGGGAAGGTGAGCAAAAAGGTGGGAGATAAGAGGAAACACGGGGAGATAGGGAGAAAAAACAGGAAAAAGGGGGACACACGGAGCCCCTCCCCACCCATCCAGCACCAAGAGGATCCAGCAGCACCCAGGGGCTCGGACAGGCAATAATCGCCCCCCCTCACAGCAAACCCCTCGCCCGCCTCAAAACATTTAAATTACATTTTAAAAAACCATTAAAACCCCCCAAATTGTGCGCACAGGGTTTCTATTTCACAAAAAAAAAAAAAAAAAAAATTTTTGCTTTTTAACTCTCCCCTCTGCCTCTGCCAACCCCGCTCCAGAGAGGAAAACCACCAAATAGGGGGGGAAAACCTCCCAAAAGAGAATCCCAGGCGCTTCCCAGTTCCCAGCTGGCTCCGACACAATCCGCTGTTTATCCTGCTAACTGAACACAACATGAAGGCAGCAGCGGGTGAGTCCCGGGGGATGCGGCACCCCCGGACACGGGATCTGGTGCTGGCGATCCCAAGAGCCCCAGATCCCAAGGCCACGGGCTGTGGAGTGCAGGGGCAGCACACGGGGGACTCGAGGACGGGGCCGGGATCCTCCCGCTGCCCCCGAGAGCAGAGCTGCTGGCCGGTGGCGCTGGGAAGCCGGTGCCAATGCGGGGGATGAGTCCGGGAAACGTTCCAAAACCCAAACGAACAAAACTGGGATCGCAGAAGAATGAAAACATCCGTCAGCACGGAGCAGGCAGCAGCTGGTGGTGACCCGGTGATGGCAGAGCTTCTGGTGCCGTAGAGGTGTTCAGAGCCCCCGAGGACATACCCTCCTGGAGGTGTTTGGAGCTCCTGGAGGTGGTCGGAGCTCCCAGCATCTCCCTTATTTCCGACAGGTCCGGTGTGGCGTCTGCTTCTTCTGCACCTCCAGCCGGCAGCGGCTGCGCTCGTCCAGCCACGGCAGCTCGAAGTTCCTGTGGGCACAGCTGGTGTCACTGCAGCACCTTCCCGACCCAAAATGACACCATCCAGACCCAAAATGGGCAGGGCGGCTTGCAAGGAGGGACATTCCACATCCCCAGGGACACTGGCACTCCACATCCCCTCCCGCTCCCAGTACTCACTGTGGGGTCAGTTTGGGCAAGGGCCGGCCAAAGGCGACAACGGGCAGGTAAGGGGTGATGAGCAAACTTTCCACTGTGGAGAGACACCAGAGTATGTGAGACCCCTCATCTGCACCCCCACCCCGACACCCCCTTGCCAAGCCTCACCATCATCTGGCTCAGGGAAAAATGAGGTAACTTCAGGTTCCGACTCCTGAATCCCTTTCCTTTTGTACATTCGGAGCTGCAGCCGCTGTAGGATTCTCTGTTCCCTGATCCGCTGGATGTCCCACCTGGAAAATAGGATGGCTGGGAAAGTGAGGCGCCACGGGCAGTGCCAGACTCTCCAAAGGTTATCACAGGGCTGCACTGGCTGCCAGCGATGTGAGAGCATCCCTCCTCCTGCAGCATTCCTGGTGCCCATCCCAGCCGGACCCTGCCCTGCTCCCTGCTCTAGGTGACACCCCAGGATCCTCCCTAGGGAGACTGGGACTCCAGACCCCCATTCCTCCCTTTGCTCCAACCTTTTCCTTCGTTTTTCATCCAGCTCCAGCTTTGCGTGCCGTTTGGAAAAGACGCTGTCATCCAGGTTCTGCAACAACACCGGACAGGGATCAGTGCATCATCCCAGGGCCAGATCCCCCACCTCAGCCTCCCTACCACAGACGAGATTTATGCTGGATGAGGGGATGAGATGCCACCAGCTCTGGGAGTGTGGCACAGCCTGGAAAGCCCCTGTGGCACTGCCAGCTCCGATGGCTCACGTACCTCCAGGATGTCGGAGGGGTTGGGGTCTCTCAGGGGCTCCACGACATGGTCCCTCCAAGATGGAACTGCAGGACAAGAAGGGTGTTACTCTACAGCCCCTGCTCCATCCCACCACCTCCCCACTCCCTTCCAGCCCATCCTTCCCCTTGGAGCATGGCTTGGCATGCCCCAAACCCCCACCCTGAGCCAGCAGTGCTCATCTCCAGTCCCTTGGTGAAGCACACAAGCAAACCTGAGCCACTCCCAGGGATGTGCCAGGCTCTGTCCGTGCTGAGCCACCTGGCACAGCCCAGTTCCCATCGCCAGCACCAACCTCACTGGGCTCAAGGCGGGACAAGCAGCGGATTTGGGGACAGCAGGTGACCCCGGTGCTGTGTCACCATGGCATGAGCCAGAGACACGTTTCCCACCCACCCACAGGAAGTTGCTTCACCGCTTGCTCCAACAGACACCAGCCAGGAGCCCTGCCCAGAGCAGAGTGATCCTGAAATGAGATTTGGGAGAGCCCAGAGCCGGCACCCACCACAGTGGAAGGAGCCAGCAGCATTGCACCTTTCCCAGTGCCTCGGGCACTCCCTTTGGCAATCTGGGAGCCCTTTCCCAGATGCAGAATGAGGGTGCTGAGCCCTGTTCCCAGGCTGGCTCAGCCCCAGCAGCTTCTCCATCGTTCTCTCCATCCTTACTTGCTACAGTCTCCTCCTTTTTGGGAGAAGGCTCCCGCAGCGGCGATGGGGGCGGCTGGTGCCAGCGGCACAAGTACATTTCTGTGGTGGACAGATAGGGCAGGTCGTCGGCCTCGCTGACAAAGCCTTTCTCCTTAGGGTGGGTGCCAGGGCCCTTCGGAGGGGCTGATGCTCTGAGTGGGGTCTCCAGGAGTGACCGGGGTTTTTCTGGAGTCTCTTGGCTCCGCAGTTCTCGTTTACAAACAGTTTCAGCCAAGGAGCCGCCCGATTCCTCCTTCCCCGGGGAGTGTTTTGGAGTTTTGCTCTTCACTTTGGAGAACTCTGACACTAGTTTTTTAACGGGCGTCTTCCTCTCCGCGCTCCCAAACGTTGGCTTCCTGCAGGAGAAAGAAGAGCTGAGCCAGGCACATGGATCCCCGCCCTGCACCAGGGATGCTGTGGGGGGCTTGCGACACCCCCAAACCAGGGCTGCTGCACCAGGGCCAGACTTAAAACAGTTAACAGAAGGGCTTCCCCAGCATTTTGGGACCCTGCACGCCCTACACAGGCTTTCTTGAGGCTCTCCTTGACACGGGGATGTGTTCCTGGTGCTGGGTGGCCTCTCCAAGCACCTCAAAGGCCTCTGGGCAGAAGCCATAGGGAGTGTCCCCCCTTCTCCCCACGCAGCCCCCCATGCACTCTGTACCTTTTATGCCCCTTCCCGTTCCTGCCGTAGGGGAAGTGCTTGGGCTGCAGGGTCGGGGGAGGCTCCAGCAGGTCCTGGGGACACTCCAAAGGCAACTTCTCACATGCCTCTGCCTCCGGCTTCTCATCCACCTCAAAGCCCTGGAAGATGCGGTGCTTCTCCCGCTCGCTGTCCTTCTTCACCAGCTGCACCCGCCTTTCCATGCGCTCGATCCGTGCCAGGAGCTGCAAGGCAGGTGAGGGAGGGCTCACCTCGGGCTGGGGTCACCCCCTTGGGCACCCACCACTGGATGTCCAATGCCACAAAATGGCCACTCTCCCGCTGCAGGAACATTTTCCACTATCCCAGGTTGTTCTAAACCTGGTCCAACCCGGCCTGGAATACTTCCAGAGATGGGGCAGCAGAAACCAGAGAATTTGGGGGTCCCACCCTGTGTGTATCCTCACCAAGGATGCAGGATGGTGAGGGGGGGTTGCAATGGTGACCCCTGCCCATGGTCACCTGCCCCCAGCCAGGGCTTGCACCCTTTAGAAGGGCTGCTTTGGACAGCAGAGTGGGGGGCTCCCAGCACCCCCAAAGGAGTGGTTTTGGGAGGGACCCAGCTTTGGGGAGCAGAGCCCAGTGCACCCAGGGTGTGGCAGTCCCCTGTCCCCAGCAGCGTCACCCCGGGAGGCTGTGCCCAGGGCAGTCCCTGAAGTGCCATCACGGACTTGCCGCAGTGGCTCCTCCATGTTGGGGGACGCGGCACTGCCTGCGGTGACATCACGTGGGGTGTCCCCGTCCTTCCTGCCACAAACTGGGGCCACCACTGCTGACACCGCCACTGCAGCTGGGCACGGCCACCACCGCGGATGGCACAGGGCCGCAGCGCCGTGGGGCTGGCAGGGGGGGTGACCCATGGCTGTGTGTGGGGGGGGGGACACACAGCATCCGTGGGGTGACACAACACCCACGGGGGGACAAGGCAGGTAGGGCAATGTTGGGGTGGGCATACAAATAGGCTACCTATGGTGAGGGGCACACATGGCATCTCTGGGGTGACACAGGACACACGTGTTGCGGGCAGGTGGAGGAGCACAGCTCAACCTCTGGTGACCCCCACAGTGCCCCCCACAAAAGCTGGCAGCCTCTCGCGGCTGTCAGTACCCCCAAATCTCCGGGATGGGCATACAGCCTCTCCTCGGCAGCAGCAGGGCGCCGTCCCT